ATAAGCAACTGCAGTGATTTCAGTAAAGTTCAAAGTCCAAGTCAAGCTGATCCACCGTCATCCATTATCCTGACACCGTGGGCCTGGCCCCTCCTCTGGTTTTGAATTTGGTTTTGTCTGCTTCTTTCTCTTTGGCAATCACTTTGGTCTCCTTGATTACCTGCTTCTGATTAGTGACTTGGCTCCACTGCTAATCCTGGTTTGCACTTTTAATAAGGTTTGGGCACCACCTTCTGTGACTCCAGAGGCCTGCCCCTCCCATCTCAAGCTGAGGTTTAAGTCTGAGATCCAAGCACCAGCCCTCCTCAAGCCCAGCACATCCCTGCCTGAGTTTCTTTCAAACTCTATTTTGTGGTAACAGGGCAGGGGTTGCATTGGTTAGCATTTACAGTAGCTTGGTGATAGGATCAGAAAATTTGGGGTTCTGCTACATAGGGTGAGTCACCCTCTGTGTGCCAGGTTCTGTCCTCAGTGGCCCCAAGATTTCCATCATGAATAGGAGTTGACAGGTACAAGCAACAAGAATACTAGTAGGTCTACAAAATCTTCAGATAAAAGTTATCAAATAATAATATCCTATATAATAAAAGAGAAACATGCAAATTAACCATCCCTCCGCTATGCTTAAGTCACGCCCACCAGCCACACCCACCAGCCAATCAGAAGTGAGTATGCAAATTAACCCAACTAAGATGGCATCGGCCACGGAACTGGAGTGCGCAGCAGGCTTGGGTTGCCCCAAGTGATGGAGGAAGCCAAGCTTCCCGCCTGCCCTGGCCAGCCCTGGGCTACGCTCAAGGCTATAAAGTTTCGATTATAGAAGATAAATAAATCCCAGAAAAAAAATGAAGAGGCTGGGAGCTTGGGTTGCTGGGGGGCATGGTCAGCCTAAAAACGGCAATCAACCCCTCACCCAGGCTGGTAGGCACCCCAGTGGGACCCCCCTCCTACCCTGAAGGGGCTGTGGCCAGCCTGCAAACAGCCATCAGCCCCTCACCCAGGCTGGCCAGGCACCCCAGTGGGACCCCCACCCTGATCTGGGACACCCTTCAGGGCCAACCAGCCAGCCCAACCCATGCACCAGGACTCTATCCTATATAATAAAAGAGTAATATGCAAATTGACCCTAACAGCAGAACAACTGAGAATGACTGATCAATATGACACATACCGACCACCAGGGGGCAGACGCTCAATGCAGGAGCTGCCCCCTGGTGGTCAGTGTGCTTCCATTGGGGGAGCTCTGCTCAGCCACAAGTCAGGCTGATGGCTGCCAGCACAGCGGTGGTGGCAGGAGAGGCTCCTCAGCAGTGCTAAGGATGTTCGACTGCAGCTTAGGCCTGGTCCTCGTTGGCAAGTGGACATCCCCCGAGGGCTCCCGGGTTGCCAGAGGGATGTCTGACTGCCAGTTTAGGCCCGATCCCCCGGGGAGCGGGCCTAAGCCAGCAGGTGGACATCCCCCGAGGGGTCCCAGCAAGAGGGCACAGGCTGGGCTGAGGGACCCTCCCCCCCCCCAGTGCACAAATTTTTGTGCACCGGGCCTATAGTATATAAAAGGCTAATATACTAAGTGTCCATCTGACCAGTAGCTAAGATGCACACTGACCAGTGAGGGATAGATGCTCAACTCAGGAGCTGCCAAGCTGCAGTGACTTGGCAGTGGCAGTTTTTGGGTGATGCACCCTGAAACCAGAGAGGAGGGAACCCTATTCCCCGCAGGGCCATGTGATTCTACCTTTGGCTGTGGGCTATGCTGTTGCTGGGGCACTGTCAGCCTGAATCTGGTTTACCGCACACTTGCATTTGCGTTCCACACCCTGTATGACAGCAACTTTGCTGAGTGCCCTCTCACACCCCGAGACCCCTCAGGGGATGTCAGAGAACCGATTTTGGCCTGATTCTTGCATGCCAGACCGAGGGACCCCACCTGCCGGAGGGATCCCTCTGCAGTCGCCCTTCGAGCCATGGCACCACCACAGGTGCGGCCAGCCGGGAAGGGACCATGGAAGGATGGCTTCAGGGTGTGTCCGGGCCATCTCTCCCAGTCCCACCCTGCCAGCCACCTTCTAATTAATTTCCTTTCAACATGCACGAATATGTGCACATGGTCACTATTAAAAACATAATAAGCTGAAACCAAATTCCAAATTAAATAGTATGAGACAAATAAAATCACATTAAAACTTTCATTCTGATCTAAGGTGATCTTGATAGAGACGATCATAAGTTCTATTTGTTTTATGCCAATAAGTCTAAGTTCAATAGATTTATTAAAAATATAATAGTGAAAATAATATTTATACAACTAATATGAGCTTTTATCAAGTGTTTACTCTGAATGTGTAAGGAAATATTTTAAAGGCTTTATATATAACATTCAATAATCCTTATAATAACCCCCTGAGAGAGAGGCAGATACTATTATTATCCCAGTCTAATTTACTAGAGGAACAAATTGAGGGACAGAAGGTTTATGTAATTTATCCAAGCTCACTACATTTGCAAGTGGTGGAGTCAATATCTGAACCCATTCAATAAGGTACCACAGCCCTCTTAACTACTATGTCCTGCCTTTCACTTGAATAGGTTATAGTTAGGGCACAGAATTTTTAAACCCCTGGAAGAAGAAAATAATTGATCCACCAAAAATTAAGAAAGAAAAATAGAAGCTGGAATGCATACAAATAAAAAATGTAAAATAATACAGCATGAGTAAAGACCAAATATATTAGAATCTTTACATAACGACACGGAAAGATGAAATATATTGTTGGATGAAAAGAAAAGGAGGCAGAACAGCAAAGTATCTTATAATTTGACTTATGTTAATACACATGCATTTACAGTCTACACATCTATCTGGCTAGAAAAAAGTCTGTTTACAGTTGTTCAAGAATAGGTGAATTAACACACAACTTTCACTTTCTCTGCAATATTTCAATTTTTACAATAATCACATATCAACTGAAAAAATACATCTACTTTCTTTAAATAAGAAGTGTAGATGGCATCATAAGCACCTATCTTTTCTCAGATGTGACTGAGGAGTAGAGATTAAACATTTGTTAAATGACTATATGGATATCTCTAAGATTAAATTACTACCTGGCACCATCAAGATAAGTGAAGAAAGAAAATAATATTTGGGATGTTCTTTCTGACCTAATATTTTTCAGTGCTTACTTAAACACCCATGTTTATTTCTCTGTACCACATGTAGGCTGAAACAAATGCTGTACTGAGCATCCGATGTGTTTTCAATCTGGCAACAAGTTACATAAATACCGTACTGTATCAAATCTATGATGCCATCATTCTTAAGATGCATTTTTATTTTATAAAAAAACAAGAAACAAAAAACCTACTTTCAAACTATGGCAGAGCATCAAAATATTTGGTTTCAGAGAAGTTAAAACTTGTGCATTTTTTAATTGATGAAATATGGCAACTTCTCATTATCACAAAGTCTAATAGCTACCATTAAATTGAGTTCTTACTACGTACCAAGTACCATACTAAGTGCTTTTCCACGTATTGTCCAATTCATTCATTTTTAAAAAATATATTTTTATTGATTTCAGAGATGAAGTGAGAGAAACAGTGTGCAAAGAGAATCACTGGCTGCCTCTTGCACACCCCACACTGGGGATCGAACCAGCAACTCGGGCATGTGCCCTGACCTGGAATTAAACTGTGACCTCCTGGTTCATAGGTCAACGCTCAACCACTGAGCTATGCAGGCTGGGCTCCAATTCATTCTTCATAGAACCCCCATGAGACAGATGCTGTCATCATTTTCATTTTACAGACAAAGAAACGAGGCAAAAGAGAGGTTTAAAAATCTGACTGTAATCAAACAACTAATAAGTGGAGAGGTCAGGAATTGAACAAGGTAGTCTTTACTGCCTTGGAGAAAGTTTACTATTCCCTTTAGAAGAGGAAAAAATGGTTCTTGGTACTAAATTTTAAAAGAAATCTATGAAGCCCGGGCCAGTTTGGCCCAGTGGGTAGAGTGTCAGCTTGCGGACTGAAGGGTCCCGGGTTCAATTCCGGTCAAGAGCATAAACTGAAGTTGCAGGCTCAATCCCCAGCCCAAGACAGGGTACATGCAGGAAGCAACCAATCAATTTGTTTGTGTCTCTCTCACATCGATGTTTCTCTCTCTCTGTCTCTCCCCATCCCTTTCACTCTCTCTAAAAATCAATGGAAAAATATCCTTGGGTGAAGATTAACAAAACAAACAAAAAGAAATCTATCAAGGACAATACAAATGCTTCCAGATGAAGTTCTATGTTGTGCTGTAGGCAATAAAGAGCCACTGGAAGGTTTTTCCAGGGACCTAATCTAATCCGAGAACAGAACTTGGGATACTGAAAAAGAGTATATTAACATCCCTTAGCTAATCTTTCCTAAATATCATTTTACTTATTAACTTTGGTGAGATCTCTGAATGTCTTTGAAAGGATCGTACTACCCCCTTGGGCTAGCTGCACATCTTACCCTCGAGTAGTTCGTGCCGTTACTATAAGTTGCAAGGCTTTGGCCTGCAGCCTCATATGATGTATAATCACCACCTGCTTATTCTCCACACCACTGTACATGAACTCCATTTTGTAGGTCTCTTCCATGATCTATAAAGAAAAGGTAATTAATGATCAGTGAAAATATCAAGTCTTGCACTAGATGGTTTGGCTCCGTGGATAGAGCATCAGCCCGCAGACTGAAGGGTTCCAGTTCGATTCAGATCAAGGGCATGTACCTTGTTTGCAAGCTCCTCCTTGGCTCAGGCCCTGGTAGGAGCTTGTGCAGGAGGCAACCAATCGATGCGTTTCTCTCACATCGATGTTTCTCTCTGTCTTTCCCTCTCTCTTCCACTCTCTCTAAAAATCAATGGAAAATTATCCTTGAATGAGGATTAACACACACACACACACACACACACACACACACACACACACACACACACAAATCAAGTCTTCCTTGAGAACAGCATAGAATTGTAGGTGAAACTCTAAACTGAGGGGTTTTTTCATGCCTATATTTTAATTCTGAACTGACATTTTTAAGTGCCTATGTTGAGATAAATTAACATAATTGGAGAGAAATTAATGTGTTGAGAGAACTGTATAGCATGTCTTGCAAAAGAGAAAATAAATTATTTTGTCAATTGAAAAACAAAAGGCTCTGTTCTGGTAATAAAATCATCTTAATTGATGATGGGATAATATGAAAGTTTAATCACAGATAAAATTATAAAGCACTACTTGTTACCCTGAACCCAAACTCACTGTGCTGTGGGGAAAAATGAATATATGCTGTATATAAAAACCAAACTCCCAAGAAAAGCCCTCAAGAATTTAGCATCAAGAACCATGAACCACCTGTTAGTCATCCAGACAAACTGTCCTACAGGCATGGAGTTTGGGATAAGTGCAGAAAACAACATCTACGACCTCAGCTCAGGCCCAGTGCATCTTAAACTCTTGTTCCATTCTAGCCAAATCAGCTACTCCCACCCAAATGAAAGCTTTGGGGTCAAAGAAATAACTCCAGGCTTGCCTATGAGTAAAAGGAAGACAAGATGTTTAATTATATGGTACCTTAGTTACCCTATCTGTACATACAGAAGAAATAGGACCAACATTAGAAAATGAAAAGGATTAAATGGGGCATGGAAAGACCTTAACACAGTATCTGGTACACAGATTTGTAATTCCTTTCCCCTCTTTCTTCCAGACTCCTGCTCCCTGTTCCCCTCGTTCCCAATATGGTCCATTCTGGCACTCCAGTCATTGAGTTCTACTCCCCTACAATAAGCTGCATAGCAAGTTTGAGAGGGAGTCTAGATCAGATGGGAAATTAAACAGAGTAGTGGAAAGAAAACAGACTCTGGGTGTCAGAGGGTCTGGGCTCAAGTCCCAGACTATATTACCTATAGTTCTATGAATTTAACCTTGCTATAAAATGAGCTTAATACTTATTCCTGCCTAATGGAATTATTGTGAGGTTTAATTAAAATAAACTTGAAATTGTTTAGTGAATTGTAATGTAGCTTTCTAATTGGTCACAATCACTCAGTTATGTACAGTTCACTATCCAGAAGAGTTCACTAAATCCCAATACCTAATAATGAAGGGAAATTGCTCAAAGCTAGAAAGAAATAAGCTCAAAGCAAATAAAATGAAATGCTCCTTAATGAACTGAGGAGAACCATAAGAACCTTTTAACATTTAAGAGATGGTAGAGGCTAAAAATATAAATAACCTGAAAATGAGTTCATCTTCATTTTCAGATAGAAGACTCATGATAGTTTTTATTGGATTTTAGTATATCTGAAATACTAACTTATGATATTTTAGAACACAAAAGAATCTTAGAAATATCTCACAGAATGGCCATATTTTACAGAGGAGAAAAAAACCAGGGGGGTTAAGTAACCTGGTCAATATCACCCAGAAAATCAGAGGCATACCTGGGTTTAGAACCCAGGTCCCTTGACTCTAAAACCAGTGCTGTGACCCCTAATTATGCTGCTTCTCCTATCACTAACTTCTGTCATTACAGGCTGAGGCTGCAGAGACCACATCAGATCTGTGGAGCCAAGATGAAGTGTGAAAGCCTCTGGCTCTAACTTGAATGAGATAATTCCTGGACAGAGATCTATGGAGGAGAAGGTCTTAATTGCTTACCTGTTTTGCTGCTGCTGAGGCCAAATCGCTCTGCTTCAAATACAAAGGGGCGGCCACATTCCACAGCTTTTCCTGTAAGGCCTACACACAAATCAGGAGAGGAGAGAAGACAGAACACAGAGATCACAAAGACTGGCATATCATTTGAGACTGCCATGTTTATTTTGCTTTGAAAATCGATCATAATCAGGACTTCCTCTCAGTCTTGTTTTTCTTTTTTGTATTGATTTCTGAGGGGAATGGAGAAGGGGAGAGAGAGACAGAAACATCAATGATGAAAGAGACTCACTGATCGGCTGCCTCTTGCCCCCTACTGGGGATCGACCCTGCAACCTGGGCATGTGCCCTGACTGGGAATCGAATCCTGACCTCCTGGTTCATAGGTCGACATTCAACCACTGAGCAACACTGGCCAGGCATTCCTCTCAGTCTTATTCCTTTAAGCCAATCAGCCCCATTTATGGACAGAGAAGAAACCAAAGGTTTGAGCTAACTGAATTCTTCCCTATTCAATCCAATTCCTAGCCCAAAGGCCATATGTCCTGGCCCAGTGCTTGCAAGCAGAGTACAGGAGCCATGAAGGTCTTACCAGAATGTCTAGGCAAGCCACCTTCCGAGGCTCTGGGCCCTTCTTGTTCCCAGAGCCAATGTTCCCTGACTGCCTAAACCCTTCTTGTTTGACTGTGGTTCTTTTTCTTTGCCCCACACTCACTATTCTTTGAACAGCCCCATCACCTTACCGGCATAGCTTTCCTAGTTTACACCCTCTCTCAAGATTTCTATTCAAAACTAACATGTAAAGCCACAGATTTCACCTTCTATCTCTCTCCTCTTCTATCCATCCATATGGCCCACCTCTCACCTCTTGTCTAACCTCTGCTATAGTCTCTAACTTCCACAGTCCTTCTTAATTATAGAACAATCCAATGGCATTACAAAAAACTTAGACTAGCACTGTCTAATGGAAACACATAACAAATCATGTAGGTAATTTTACATTTTTTAGTAGTCACATTTTTTTAAGTAGTCACATTTTTTATTATTATTATTATTATTATTATTATTAGTTAAGGTATTTTTGTGTTTAGTGCTTTTTTAGCCTCTCCCCTCCCCCTCCCAATTTTCTGCTAATTTCCTATTTCCTCTCTCCTTTGGGAATTCTGGTTACACATACACCGAATATTGTCCCCCAGGTAAAAAGAAATAGGTAAAATTAATTTTAAAAGTATAGTTTAGTTAATGCAATATATCCAAGATAACACCATTTCACTATGCCATCAATCTTTTAAAAATTACTGAGATAGCTTACATGCTTTTTTCACACAAAGTCTAAGAAATCCAGAGTGAATTTTGCACTTACAGCACGTCTCAATTTGAACAAGCAACATTTCAAGAGCTCAATAGTCACATGTACCTGGTGACCATCATATTAGATAGGTCTAGACCAGCAGTGGGCAAACTACGGCCCGCGGGCCGGATCCGGCCCGTTTGAAATGAATAAAACTAAAAAAAAAAAAAGACCATTCCCTTTTTTTTTTTTAATCAATATTTTATTGATTTTCTACAGAGAGAAAGGGAGAAAGAGAGAGAGTTAGAAACATCGATGAGAGAGAAACATCGATCAGCTGCCTCCTGCACATCTCCTACTGGAGATGTGTGCGCAACCCAGGTACATGCCCTTGACCGGAATCGAACCCGGGACCTTTCAGTCCGCAGGCCGACGCTCTATCCACTGAGCCAAACCGGTTTTGGCAGGACCATACCCTTTTATGTAATGATGTTTACTTTGAATTTATATTAGTTCACACAAACACTCCATCCATGCTTTTGTTCCGGCCCTCCAGTCCAGTTTAAGAACCCATTGTGGCCCTCGAGTCAAAAAGTTTGCCCACCCCTGGTCTAGACCATCGATATAGAAATCTTTAAATCACCCAACCCACACTATCTTATCAGAGGTACTGCTTTTGAATATTTGCTTTCAATCATTTCTCAAATGCATATTTTTATATAGTTGTAGTCAGAAAGCTGAAATAATTTTGTATCTTTTTTGGTGCATAACATTACGTATTTTGTGATGTTGTTATATAATTCTTCGTGATGATCATTACTGACCACAGAATATACTGGGGAGTAGATGTGCCACAGCTGAGTTAGCTCATCCCGATTACCAAACACCTGCCTGCTCTGGTTCTGAGTCTGGGTCCCTTACTTACCCTGCCACTCCATGACATTGAGTAAACAACATAGTTCTGTGTTCTTTTTAGGAGTAAACTCTTCTCATTTCTTACTATAGAAAAGTAGATTCTTTTCAAAGGCCTTCTTGTATTCCCATGGAGAAGATAACAAGCCACAGAAGGAGGAAAATGACCAACAATGACAAGGCACTCTCTACACACTGACTAGACCCTAGGCCAAGAGCACTCACACTTATTGCTGGTTACCAGTCCTTACCTGGGTCAAGTTATTATTAGCCCTGTTTCACAGAAGCTTGGAAAAGCTATCAATTTTGCAAAGGGGCATAAGGAACATTTTTGGACAATGGAAATGTGCTATATATTGACTGTGGTAGTGGTTATGCAAGCATATATGACTGAAAGAATCTATCTTGCTCAACAAGGGTTGTTTAAATCCCAACCCACTTCAGTGTACACACCCACATTCATATATATATATATATACATACACACACACACACACACACACACAAACTTGCAAAATCCTAAGCTCACACATCTTACAATGGGAAATAAGAAACTTTTCCAATTGTTCTGACTTTAAATAACTATCATTAATCTCTTTAAAGACTAACATTTGGAACTGAAGCCAAGATAAAGGCTTATCAGTAAGAAGGGCTCTCCTAAATCCTAAGTTTAAATTTACAGCAGAATTCTGCATTCTGCTGCAGAAGCTGAAAGCTACTGAACTCATTTAATTGGTTTCCAATTCTGCCAACTGAAACAGTCTCTTGAGTACAAATTTTGTGAATATATATAGTATATATACACGTATATATCATCTACCTTATATGAAATGCCAGCAAGTTGGCCTTTTTAAGAGCAAGGAAATCAACCTCTGACTAATTTTACTTTGATGAAGTGAAATTATGAAAATAAAAGTTCATATAAGTTCTTTGCTAATCAAAGTATTAAAAAAACAATGAAAATCCTTGGGATTCTAAAGAAAATGATTATGCACCTGATCTGCTCTAATTACATAATGATGAAAGAATGCTACCAAATTTTAAAAATTCAAATTTCTCTTAGAGTTAACAATTATTTAATTAGAGCCAAATACAATTACACCACAGAATACATAATTCTCCATTGCTGTGGTTGCAGAAGGCCATATATTTTTCCAATTATGGCCTCAAACTCTGCCAGATCTGTTAAAGTGTATTCTTAGCATCACACTCAAAAGTACAATGAGTCCAAACCAGCGGTTCTCAACCTGTGGGTCGCGACCTCTTTGGCGGTTAAATGACCCTTTCACAGGGTCACCTAAGACCATCCTGCATATCAGATATTTACATTACGATTCATAACAGTAGCAACATTGCAGTTATGAAATAGCAATGGAAATAATTTTATGGTTGGGTCACAACATGAGGAGCTGTATTTAAAGGGCCAGAAGGCTGAGAACAACTGGTCCAAACCAACCTTGATGAGAAGAAGTTGACACCGAAGATAGGCAGCCGAGAAGTCAGCTACTCCTGCCAATTCAGACTGAAGTTCTCCAAGTCTTTGCAGATCCCTAGAGTAAACAAAACAAGCCAAACATAGGACAAGGATAGTAACAGCAACATAAAAGTCACATCAAAGCATTTTACCATTTTAGACCTAGCAAACTGGTCATAAATTTTAAAACAGCATCCAATGCTTGAGTGGTTATAATGAAGTGATTCGCTCACACTGGATAGTAGATTAAGCTGATATAATTCTTTGGAAAGTGAAATTGTACTCTGTTATAAAAGTCACACATATAGTCAAATATTTTGATTGGTAGCTTTATGCTAAGAAGTAATTCTAAGGAAAATCTTCAATAGAAATGAAATGCTCCATGCCTCATAATACTCACTGTGTGATTATAGTAAAAATCCAGTAACTAAATATTCAATGGTAGAGGAATTTAAACATTACTATATTTCCAGTCAATGAAATAAATACTCTATAACCATTAAAATATAAAATGGTAATAAAATATATGATCTCAACCATGTAAAAGCTGGCGAAAAATAGAGCAAAGTGGTTTTCTGGATAGAGGTATTCAGGGGCTTTTTAGTGCCTACTCCCAACTAGGCTTTATTTTCCAAGTGTTTTATACGATGGGCAAGTATTTTTGTACCACCGGGGAAAAAAACCTGCCTGTAGACAAGAAAAGAGAAAATGACACACAGATAAAATAGTTGTATTGGGGGCTGAGATTACTAATTTAAAACTTTTAATTTTTAGAATAGATAATAAACACTTTTCCAAAGAGGACGCACAGATGGCCAATAGACATATGAAAAATGCTCATTGTCACTAATCATCAGAAAAATGCAAATTAAAAGCACAATGAGATACTACCTCATACCTGTCAGAATGGCTTTCATCAATAAATCCACAAACAACAAGTGTTAGTAAGAATGTAGAGAAAGGAAAACCTTCATGTACTATTGGTGGGGATGCAAATTGGTGTAGCCACTGTGGAAAGCAGTATGGAGGGTCCTCAAAAAATTAAAAATGGAACTACCTTATGACCCAGTAATTCCATTTCTGGGGATTTATCTGAAGAAACCCAAAACAGTGATTCAAAAGAATATATGCACCTCTATGTTCATTGCATTATTTACAATACCCAAGATATGAAAGCAGCCCAAATGCCCAACAATAGGTAAGTGGATAAAAAAGCTGTGGTACACCTACACAATGGAATACTACTCAGCCATAAAAAGAAGGAAATCTTGCCTTGGATGGACTCGGAGAGTATTACACTAAGTGAAATAAGCCAGTCAGAGAAAGTACCATATGATTTCACTTATATGTGGCATCTAATGAACAAAATAATCAAACAACCAAAAACCCCGAAATAGAAACTGGTTCACAGCTGTCAGAAGCAGGGAGTGGAGGGAATGAGCTGTGTAATAAAGGTAAAGAAATTAAGAAAAAAAAACCCAACAACACACACCCTCATAGACGGACATCAACATGGTCATTACCAGAGGGAAGAGGGAGTGGGGGGAGGCAGGAGAGGGTAAAAGGGTGGGGGAGGGGTGTAAATGGAATGGAAAGAGACATGACTTGGGATGGTGAACATAATACAATATACAGTTAGGTATTATACAACTGTACACCTTAAACCTATATAGTTTTATTAATCAATGGAACCCCTATAAATTCAATAGAAAGGAAAAAACTTTAAAAAGTTCACACAAGCAGAATTCATTCATTTTGAAATCACTGCTAAAAGACAGTAAAAAAGACTGGATGTGTAAATCAAATGTTTATGACTAAACATTTCTTTCAATCTCTAAATATCAAATTTACAATTAATGTCTCTTAATAGTTTGGTGGAATAACAACGAATGTTAGAAAATGCAAAATGAGTACAAAATACTGATAATTTTTCAAAAGAATCTCCTTCACTGCTGCCTATCATAGAAAATCAATTTTAGAGTCAAACAAATACAGATTTAAATCCTGGTTCTGCTACTTCCTAGTAAATTGCTTCACTTCCCCAAATTTCCATTTTTTCTCTGTGACAAGGGAACATCTACCTGCAATGTTTGTAAAACATTATAGGTCATCAGTAAGTATGGCACCACTGCTTTCCTTTCTGAATCTTTCACCATCTGGCCATCCTCTCAGAATACACTCAGGTTAGAAACATAGTTCCCAGGACTGACCACAGCACTAGAACAGTGGTCTGACCAGCCAGACACCCAGCAGGACTACTACCTCATAAGACCCAGATCATGAGGATCACTCAAAATCAAAGGGTGTTTACTGAGCACCTACTTACAGCCAACTGATATTAGCTTACTTTTGTGCATTTTGTACTTGTTTTAGTGCTAACAGGACTTAAAAAACTGTCAAAGACAAAACCTATGTTTATTTAGATAGGGTTGAGTCAAGAAGTGGAGCTTATTTTCCTGAGCTCAGGGCCAACAACTTCAGAGAGTGGCTCTAAATGTGACTGAGGTATCATTTCAGAGTCAGCAGACTTTTTCTATAAAGGGTCAGAGAGTAAATATTCTAGGCTTTGCAGGCCATGCAATCTCTGCAGCAACTACTCAAATCTGACATTATAGCATGAAAGCAGCGCAGACAGTACCTAAAAGTGTGGTTGTGTTTCAATCAAACCTTATTTACAAAAGCAGATGGATATTGTTTTTGCTAAAGACAAATGGGTTTCAATTATTTTCATAACATTCAGGACATTCTAATAAGATTAGCAGCGCCGAAACCGGTTTGGCTCAGTGGATAGAGCGTTGGCCTGCGGACTGAGAGGTCCCGGGTTCGATTCCGGTCAAGGGCATGTACCTGGGTTGCGGGCACATCCCCAGTGGGAGATGTGCAGGAGGCAGCTGATCACTGTTTCTCTCTCATTGATGTTTCTAACTCTCTGTCTCTCTCCCTTCCTCTCTGTAAAAAAATCAATAAAATATATTAAAAAAAAAAGATTAGCAGAGTCTGCTGGTTATTCCCCAATATCCTCCCCCTCCTCCTGAGTAACAGAGTCACTAAATGTTAAATAAGCACTGGGCACCCAGAATAAAGACTGCATTTCCTAGCTCCTTGCAGCTAGATATGGCCATGTAAATCAAAATCTAGTCAATGGGATGCAAATAAATTTAAAACATGCAATTTTGGGGAAGTGGCTTTAAAAGGGGTAAGGGTAGAAATAATGCTGTTCTCCTGTTTTTTCCTTTTTCCTGCAGGAATACAGAGGAGATAGAGTTTGAAGCTTTAGGCCTAGGCCCCTGATGACCATCTCAACTCTGTCCTGTCTATGAGAAAGAATTAGCCTTTTCTCCTGTTTAAACCATTGTTATTTCGCATTTTCCACCACTTATCCATACTAATAATAAAGGAATATGCAAATTGTCCAGGACGCCATCACAGTAATGACAGATCAGCAGGCTGCACGCACAGCAGGTGTGGGTGGGCAGGGACTTGCAGTGTCAGGGGCGGGGCTAAAGAGGTAATATGCAAATTAGGCTGGGATGCTGTAATGGGTCGACCAGACAGGAGGAGGTTGTGTGGGCAGCATTGGGGATGGGGTGGCAGGGGCCTCCGTGCGCCTGCGCTGGGGGAGGGCCAGACCAGCAGCGGCAGAGGCAGGGCCTGCGCTGTGGGCCCAGGTCAGGGCTCATGCAGGAGGCAACCAATCGATGTGTCCCTCTCATGTTATGTTTCTCTATGTCTTTCCCTCTCTCTTCCATGCTCTCTAAAAATCAATGGGAAAATATCCTCAGGGAGGATAAAGAAAGAAAGAAAGAAATGTCATAGCCTATGAAAGGTACATCTTGAAAATGCCTAAGGAAAGTTGTCATTTTTTTGTGGTAAAGGCACTGGAATCCATGTTGATGAAAACACCCTGGTGGCTGTGAGGGCCGAGGGCCGGCAGCTGCGGTGGCCAGCAGTGGCAGTGGCAGCAGCAGTGGGATGTTGGGGGCAGTGCCTTCCCCTGATCAGCCCAGTGGCCTCCCGCAGAGGGAGGCCAGACTGTGGTTTAGACCTGCACCCCCTACCCCCCGGGGAGCGGGCCCAAGCCGTCAGTAGGACATCACCTGAGGGCTCTCGGACTATGAAAGGAGGCAGGCTGGGCTGAGGGACCCACTGGTCCTCTAGTCCTAAATAATATACAAGGGCCGAAACCGGTTTGGCTCAGTGGATAGAGCGTCGGCCTGCGGACTGAAAGGTCCCAGGTTCGATTCCGGTCAAGGGCATGTACCTGGGTTGCGGGCACATCCCCAATAGGAGATGTGCAGGAGGCAGCTGATCGATGTTTCTCTCTCATCGATGTTTCTAACTCTCTCTCTCCCTTCCTCTCTGTAAAAAATCAATAAAATATATTTTAAATAAATAAATAAATAAATAATATACAAGGAAAGGAACAGATAAAAACAGCTTCTTTGTAACTCTTTCTAGTTTTGTACTAATCATCAATCTGGTCATGTACAGAAAGAGTTTTTCTTTGTATATAACATGCTCAAACCCCAACCTAATCCAAATATAAGCAGATCATAAAATCATGTGTGAGCATTGGCCCATAGCAGCGGTTCTCAACCTGTGGGTCGCGACCCCTCTGGGGGTCAAATGACCCTTTCACAGGGGTTGCCTAAGACCATTGGAAAACACCTATATAATTACATATTGTTTTTGTGAGTAATCACTATGCTTTAATTATGTTCAATTTGTAACAATGAAATTGGGGGTCACCACAACTGTATTAAAGGGTCACGGCATTAGGAAGGGTGAGAACCACTGGCCTATATAGAGTCAGAAAAACTAGCCTGTAACCAACAATGAAAATCAAAACAGTCAAGCAGAGCAGAACAACAATGCTAACTGTCAAAGGAAAGGGACGATTACCTCACCTGATGGTGAACTCTAGCAGCTCCTGGGTTCCCTGAGGGTCCAGGTGCTGAAGACTGTACACCCTTTCAAGGCTCTGCTGCAGGAACTGATGGGAAGGATCCTCATGAGGCGTGATATTGGGGGAAACAGCTGATGACACAAGTTTTCTACCTGATAACTAAGCAAACATAGTCAGGTTATAAACTTTCGAAACAAAATAACCAGAAAAAAAGTGAGCCAAATAAAGTAAACGGAACAAAAACCTAGGGATTCTATAAATAACCTTTCTCCCCTTCCCTAGCTTCAGTGGGAGAAA